CCAATTATTAATTTGTCTGAGTCAACACACACAGTATGATACTTGTGTGTTGGGCCTTCAGAGATCATTGCATCTTTCTCTCCACCAGCTCAGATACACAATATGTCTGTTCAGTATATAAACCACTACATTTGCACTGCAGACATTTACAGTCTGTCAGTTTCAAATCCTCCACACCTCAGTTTGGAGCCTCGCAACTGTAAATAACACGCGACAAATTCAACTCTCAGCAGAAACCATGACATCAATCCAACATTCTGTTGGTTTGGCAGAACCTATTTACACCTTGACAATCCAATAGTGTTTTTTTTACCTGGCAATATGGGGACTGGAATTCTGTGTTTCGCTGTTAAAATGCTGAACACATCTTCAGTCACTGGAGTGTTCAGAGGTGCCTGAGTCAAGAACAACACGTGTATTGCTTAGAGCTTGATTTCACAAGGATTTGTGAGTATCAATGAATAGAATTACAATCAAATGACACGTCTCGATATTCAAATAAATAGATTCCCCAATATTAGCATACATATAGGTAGTTTCGGTGCATGCAAATGATGACGAATACTACATACCTGTAAAAACATACACTTAACTGCCACAAAACATATAATACACAACAACACAGAGCAGCAGGATGGGTTTCTTCGGAAATACCAAACTCTCAAAAGAAGAAATGTTAAATGAGACTCACGCCTCGTTCCTTCCAATCAGGAAATAGCTCATCAAGTGCGGTGGGCTCCAGACAGGCTCCAGACAGAGTGTGTGCTCCAATCTGAGAGGCCTTCTCCACGAGGCACACACGCAGCTCCTTCTCATGTTCGTTGGCGAGCTGCTTCAGACGAATGGCTGCTGAAAGGCCGGCAGGACCCCCGCCGACGATCACCACATCTGCCTCATCGGCAAACCTCTCCATTTCGATCCCTGGGAATGAACCCAAACACAAGAGGGGATTATAAAGAGAGACTATCCATGAAAGAGAGAGAGAGGCAATACATCAAGACTCAGAGTGCAACTGAAGAGTATGGGTTCCCAGTTGAAGACTCCGGTGAGAGCACGGGCAGAGAGCACGGGCAGGCAGGTCGGTTAATTTCATTAGGTGCCAATGAAAGTGATAATAATCTTTATCTATATATAAATAAAAACCCACACAACTCTATTTATGATCATTTGGGTGGTACGTGAAAAGAATATCAACCAAAAAGTGTTTCAGAAACAACTTACCAACCCCGCCTCCAGGGCCAGGGTACCAGATATTACAGGAAGTTCTCGAAGGGGACGTGTAATGCAAGTTATACTCATATATTATTGATATTATTGAAGATGTATTATGAGCTTCCCCGTAAACTTTCACGGAAAACTGAAGAAATACAGAATTTCTCCTCCTGGACTCACACAACAGAAATATGGATAAGACACCAAAGTGAAGTATCTTACCTTCCCATCTCTGGTCCTTCTCCCGGGGATGGATGGTGTAGTGGGTTGTGATGCGGGGCGCTGACACCGAGGAGCAGGATCTTCTGTGTAGTGTCGTGTACAGCTGAGGGGCTGCATGCTCTGTCTGCACTGTGTTCAATACCCTGATGCACCTGTGGGCTGCAAACACATGTCAGATCAAACCAGTTCAGACCTGAGGCAACGAGACTGTGCACTGATGCGTGCTGTGTTTACTAGTTGGGTTGAGCCTCATCGAGCACGTCACTGATAAGATACTCAGCAAGTACAACAAATGCACGTAGCAACATCATAATGACATCATGCAGCTGTGTTTACGACAACGTGGTAAACATTGGCAGGAACAAGCTGTGTTAACACATGCAGCGGTAGCACCATGCTAGCTAGCACAGTTACATATGTGACAGCTGCTAAGCTAATTTCAAGAGTTAACAATCATTAAAACATCACGAAACAACTTGCACGATAAAGACGAGTCGGTGACAGAGTCGGCGAGTTCCTGAAAAACACGTGACTGGACCGTTCGACCCGGGACAAGGACACAGATGGAGTGACCCGCACACCGGTTCAACTTTAACCTACATCTTAGCATCAATGCTAACACATGCAGGACTGCTCGAGGCTAACGCAGACGAAATAGATTTGAAAGTTAAAAAAAAAAAAAAACAACGAGAGATTATTCAGCCGGTAAATTAAAAAGCTTCGTGGAACGAAAAGGATTAAAATAAAACACCGAGGCATCAAACACAATCAACAACACCTGAGCTAACGAGCTAACAGCGGAACCCACCTCGACTGGAGTATCTGCTAGCTGGAAACATGGCGAGTCAGCTAGCGTTAGCTCTCCAGCGGACCGGGGCTTCGCTCTTTAAAGATCCGCTGAAGTGACAGGGAGCTCGGGGAGAGACGACGAGACACAGACGCTCCGGAGCCAAAACACCGAGTCCTTACAAAACACGTCTCGTAACGAGGACACATGTCCGCGTCACAAAGCTGCGCTGCTGCTGCTGCTGCGGCGCCGCTCCCCTCCCCCTCCTGCGCCAGTGTAGATGTGTAAACACTCACCACGTGTCCCTCAGGAGGAGAATCCAGGAGGAAGCAGTTTATGAATCAGCTGTGGTGATGCAGAGGTCGTCCCAGGCCACTGTCCCCTGTCTGCACAGGGTTATATTTAGGTTTATATGTTTATATTGTTGTACAGAGACTTTAAACAATATATATATATATATATGTTTATAAATGTTATAAATGTTTGTGTGACCAGATTATGATTCCAATGATGTAATGAGGACATTTAATGACATGGTGACCTTTGACCCATGAACCCCAAAATGTAATCAGTTCATCTCTGAACGTTTGTTTCAAATTTGAAGAAATCCCTCAACGTGTTGTTGAGATATCGTGTTCACGAGAATGAAACAACAACCTGACAACATGCAGCCTCTGGCCACTGGGTGTCCGAGGTGCGGACGAACAAAAGAGAAGTGAGTGTGTCCAAAGACAAAGACCGGAGACAAAACATGTGTATTGTCTCTGTGAACTTGACCTCTGACCTCCAGCTGCTGTCGTGCAGCAGACGTCTCGTGAATCTTACGTCAGGTCGGACAGAGAATCTCTCTTTGAATCAGAGCGGCAGAAAAACATTTACTCACTTTATTCACTGAAATGAAAAAAGTTTGTGGGAAGGAAACGACGGAAACTTGAGACTTTCTGAAACTTTCATTTCAAACTGTTTCTCTTCATCTGAGACTCAAACACTGTTCGCATCATAAATATTTCAAACCCCGGGAACAGAACTCGATTTAATTTCATCGTGAAGCTCTGAAGTAAATTCATGCAGCTCCTGACATTAAAGAAAAACTCGTCTCTTTGTCAACGCAGGCGTCTCGTTTCCTCTCCTCCCTCCTCGGCTCCCGTATGGAAATGGGAGTGACTGACAAGTGGAGCGAGGTCATCGAACAAGGCTGCGACACGACCGCATAAAGAGAGCGATTCATGCATCTGCAGGGCGGCCGCACACCCCCGCCTCCAGGCAGACATTTTGTGAAGTTCAGGATCACACATGAAGACGTTCACACCAGAAAACCACACGTAGCTCAGAGGAGCCAACACCAAAGCTTTCACTTTGAATTGTTGATCCCACTGCAGATAAAATCATGTTTCTGAAATAATTCAATCTGATCTGAACTTTTCTCTTCAAAAGCTCGTCAACCACCTGTTCACCAGGTGACGCTGCCGCTCCAGCTCCGTCTGTCTCGGACCTGTTGTCTGTGGATTCTCTTCTGTTCTTGTGACACGTCACATCCTCTCGATTGTTACTGAACTGATTCTGTCACTTTTGACGTGAATAACAAAGTGCGACACAGCGAAACGCGTGAAGTCGTTCTCACAAACAAGAACCTCTGGAACCTCTAGAACCTCTGGAACCTCAAGAACCTCTGGAACCTCTAGAACCTCTGGAACCTCAAGAACCTCTGGAACCTCNATGAAACACACTAGTGAAAACATCACTAGGATTATTTTATATTCAATTTCTGGCAATAGATCTAAATCTTACACACTGGGCCTTCAAGAAAACCACTTCATCAATGTACAGAAACACACTGCAAATTGGTAATAGTAGTTATTATAATACATTTTATTTATGGGCGTCTTTCATGACATCACATTACGTGTACAAATAATAATAAAATAAAACAGATACACTACAGCAGACTTCAGTTACTTCCCCAAAGCATTGAACTACGGCAGGTTCTGCAACCAAACATATATAAATTCTAAATACACATAAACACAGCTTCAAATATAACACACATATATATATATATGTAAATACATAAATAAAAAACACATGAATACATTATTTATAGAGACAGTAATCCTGATTCATTTATGGACAACTAATGACTAACCAGTGATGGACTCGCACCACCAGACAGAATATGGCTTTTCCTTCAGGCAAGAACTCAATAACTGAATCAAGTATTCAGCCTTAACTGTTGTTAAATATTTGGCTTCCTATTTTTAAATAATAGATATTCTCATTATGCCTCTGCCCATAATGAAATAAGAATACATAGTACAAAGTTAAGGCTGAATACGTGAATGATGCTACTGGAAATAAATGCACAATGAGTGCGTCTGTTGTTGATGTTGATTGCACTAGTTATTCAATAATGTTGCACATACACATTATTCTATGTAGTTGTACTGACCCACTATTATTGTGTTATTGTGTCTCCAAAAAAACTGCACATATTAAGAAATATACTTTCTCTTCAGAGTGAATGTGTTCTTTCAGGTGGAATTAACTAGTTAACTTCCAAAAACTATTTAAAGATATCTGATTTAATTCTTATTGAAAGGTCCATCGCTGTGCATTAACTATGACTAATTATCTTTTAAGTTCCATACATTTGTGTTCAAAATTCAAATTCCCTAAAAATCTTGGATCTTTAAATTTTCATAAAAGTCAACGAGCAGATTTTATTAATGAAAAACAGAAACAGAAAAACTAACTTCATAATTTATTTATTGAAGGGCACAGGGTCAATACAACAAAGGAACCAATAACAACTTTTAAACAAACATTCCCATCAATATTAAATCTTTTCAGCATAAATGAGAATGTGATGGAAACACAAACGGTCACATAAAGCACGAGGTACTCTCATACCATCGTTACATCTAATTTATTCTCCTCTTGTGCTGCAGCATGTTTGTGATGCATTCACACATTTAACATTTAAAAATCAGTTTCCACGGGAATCAGTCCTTCGCTGAACAAAGAATATGCACAGATGCATGCACAAAAGTCTTTACCTTACAGATCACAGTGTTAGAAAAAATGTGTGGTGTGGTTGTTGGTGAGTCTGTCTCCCAGACCAGCTGGGGAAAGACAGGATTTTATAAAAGACCATTTAAAATCGCTGCCTGTGTAGCTGCAACTCACTTATAACTTTCACCAAGTTATACCCGTCAATATTAATCACAGTACATTCTTTATATCTTATATATTACATTCAACATTTCCCTAAGATAAATATTGGTGGCAGAAGCAACACAATGGACTAAAGACAAAAACACAGAATACAAAAAGTGTGTATTTTTTCTTTCCCTCGCAGACTGCATGAGAAGATTAAGGGGTTTCACACAAAGTAAAAAAAGTTCTTCGCTGCAAGTAGAATCTTTGTACAGTGCTGTCAGCAATATGAGATTAAAGGAGCGACATACAGCATGAAATGGATTCTGACGTGCATATGAACTCTTGACAAAGGAAAGTTCTAAAATGGATCCATTCAACTCCCCACTGGCTCATTGTACAAAAGAGAATTTCATCTTCAAGTTAATCGTATCTTTTCACAATGTACAGGTTTACATTGATTCAGCTGAACATGTTAGTTTTTCAGGTCACAGAACGTCCCCACCAGACGTCCTCACGTGTGGAGGTTGAAAAGGAGATAATAAAATGACTGCACTGCTGCTGGCCGATTGTGTGTGACGGAATTCAGATCCATCCTGAACACCATAATCCTCTTCTTTTTTTTAAAATGTCCTTAAAGTTTCCATTTCTTTGAACATTTGCAGAGACTCTTACAGATATGAACGACCATCTTTGGTGATAAATGTGGCGGCGGTGTGATTCCCATCAGATCCTTTGCATTTGTTTTGACAGTACCCATATAACAAGGAACTCTCATCTGCCACGGCAGCGTAAACTGATTTACAGCTGCAGACAACATGATACCAGAGTTTAAGCCGGTGCATCACCGTCAGGAGCGATGCTGATAAACACAGTAAGAAATGTATCAAACAAGTCTATATAAAGTTATATTACACCAAACGTTGAACGGTCAGTAGAAAAATACTCAACGAAAGAAACATTAGCAAACAAAGAAGTTCATCAGTTTTGACGGCAGTAAAAAAACTAACAATAAAACCAGTTTAAAGGAAGATTATGTGATTTGAGCAACTTTGTACACGAGGGAGTTCAGTTGATGGTAGACCCGTCCCAGCAGTCTGTGGTTCTAAGTGGTTCTAAGTACTTCGGATAACCACTTGAAACGATGTTCAGGCTTGAGACGAGTCGATCAAGTCGGCTTATCTGCTGGATCTTTTCCGTGTCAGTAATCCGGAGAAACGTTGGGTTTAGGTCCGGTTAGGAAATAAAAAACAGAACGCCTGCAGGTATGGGTCACATTCAGTTGGTTTCCTCTCGGGCTTAAACGGGTTCGGACTGAAAATTGCAGCCCTGGTTCTGAGCATGCCAAAGTGCCCCACCTACAGGAGAGCAGATGAATGAAGGTAGATACTGCCTCCTACAGGCAAAGAAAGTAATTGTTGCTGTGTATATTTTCAATACTTGCACCACCTGCAGGCAAAGAGTGTTACAACATCAGTTATATCACTTTTTTATAAACTGTTACAACATTGGAGACAATATATTTTCATTCTTTTGCACAAAATGTCGAAGACCACAACTAACGTGAACAAAATTTGTACAATATGGAGACGCAAGAGGAAAAGTCATAGGATCGCAAAAGTTAGTATAGGTTTCATCCTCAGGGCACCACGAATGTCACTCAAAGGTTGTTTTTGCCAAATTAAATCTGACCGAACGCTTGATTAGCTTTTATAACAACAGCCTGCAGATGGTGCAAATGTCAAAAACATTGAATCCCTAGATCAGTGATCCGAACCTCTGCTGTCATAAGCCTTCAGTGGCTGCCTCTGCTCTACTAACTGAATTGATTAAAATGTGCAGTGTTAATTAACGCGACACACAAAATGAATAAAAACACACAATGTCTACAGAGACTTAACGAACTGGGGCTCAGTGGACAGAGTCTTCTGTGGCTGAGAGACACGATCTTCATTTATCTGTCGGCAAGAAAATCCTGTTTTGTTATTAAGGGATTTATTTTGTAAAGTAAAATGGATTTGGCCGGAGACATTGTCAAAAAACCCAACAATGTGTTAATCCATCTTTCAATATATCTTTTCCACCAGTGCCACGCTCCCCTCCCCCGGGTCCTTTCACCTCCACAACACTTCAGCCCCAGGAGCAATTTACAAGCGGATTTCAAAACTCAACCCTACGTAGAAAGAATTTGAAGACGGACTTCACTCTTCTGCTGCGATGGCTGACGCTCCGGTGACACAGGCACACACTGGGATTTCCACAAAACCACTCAAAAATCAGTGTATCATTAAACCGGTTAAACTCTTGTAGTTGTGGAGACGGATGAATGATCACATGTTCTTGCAGTGAGACACTTAGATGAGTTCATGTGTTTGTGTGTGAGTGAGCGTGCGCAGCATGGTTTGTTTCTGCGAGCACACCGACACGACCGTACACTGCTTCTGCTTCTGCTGCTGCTGCTGCTGCTGCTGCTGCTGCTGCGTGCACCGCGTGATGTCATTGCATCCGTCGTTGGTATTTTCCACAGGGGTGAGCTTGGCCAGCGCGTTTGTCATTTCCAGAGCGTGGCCCGGGGTGAGGCCGTGGCTGTTCTCCTGCAGGGGCCACGTTTCCTGCCAGGTGAGCGACGGATGATGAGCGGGGTGACCGCTGAGCAGCGGCCTCTTCTGTCTGTAGTTGGCCCACACCTGCAGAATGGTCTCTTTGAAAGGCCGCGTGGTCAGCGTGTAGAGGATGGGGTTAAGAGCACTGTTGATGGGGAGGATAAATATGACGACCCAGGAGCTGATGGTGCCTGAGGGTGGAGAGGGAGAAATGGTCTGTGTTAAAAGATGAGAACACAAAAGTCTTTTTTCATTTGTACAATAAATGAAATTTCAACAAGGTGGCAACAGTTAGATGCTCAGTTAAAACTTAATAATTTACTATGATGTAAGATTCAGACACAGTGATTGAAAGACTTAAAGGAAGATTCCACTGAAAATATATCTTTTGACTTTTTCCTCCTTGTGAAATGGAAAACATTGTAAAATATAGAAACATTAACTGCTCTGCAGAAAACAGGACAATGATGGTCGTCAGCAGACGGACGCAAAAAGTGTGTCAAGACATTGGACCAATTAAAAAAAAGAATTAAAAACTAATTTTAGGAGTTATTTATCAGGTTAGTGTTTTAATTATTGAATTGATGTTTGATGGGATGGGAGAAGCGTCATGATTGACAGCTGAGACTGACTTGTGATTGGTCGACAGCGAGTATCAATGGGACCTAACGTGGCTCCATCAGATGCAGTTCAGTGATGATATATCATAGCTCTTAATGGAAGTGATTTAAAGGACGATAACATGTTGAGCTTTGTTGCTCTAAAAGCAAAGTCACGATTTACTCTGAATCCAAACACAGGAACAGTCGGCAGAAGCTTTTTCAGCAGAGTCTTAAAAGTATATAAAATGAAATTTTACAATTGCTGTGAACCCGACTGCAGCTGCTATCGTCAGTAAAAGAGAACAGAGAACCTTCTGGATGGAGCCACGCTGAGGGAGCATGATATTGTACTTGATGCTCAAAACACAGACTTTCAGTGGAGCGTTCCGTTGAATGTTTATAGCACTTCTACTATACCGGGAATCTCCACCTGCAGCAGTGACAGGATCTTGAGGATGAAAATGGGGATCCAGCACAGGGAGTCCGTCACGACGATGGAGAAGAACCTCTTGGCGATGGTCACCTCTTTCTTGATGTGGTTGCTGTACTTGGTGGTCTGAGTGCCTGTTCTCTGGATGTTATAGAACATGCTTGCATAGGCCAGGACGATGATGAGGAACGCCACCAGGTTCAGACCTACAGGGGAGACACGTGGTTTGATTCTGGATCAGCTGCAGCAGCATGTGTTTGCACTACGGACTTGCATTTATAACAGAGTATGAATCCACATGCAAATAAATACAAAGACACAAATCACAACAAAAACGTGACAGATTATTGAAGGTACAAATTCCCACCCAGGAAGATAACGATGGAGTAAACGTGAGCCCAAAGCGTCTCAGGCTGCTCCGAGTGCAGCGGGAAGCAAACTCCGTTGGTCCCGTAGAAGTTGCGAAACAGCCCCTTGCAGACCAGCGGCAGGAAGGCGACGATAAAGCCAAACACCCAAATTCCGAAAAGGATGGTGACAGTTCGTCGCCAGCCGGGCGTCAAGTACTTGAAAGGGTAGACGATGCAGATGTATTTCTCCAGGGTGAGATAAGTGAGGAGCAGGACGGATACCTCAGTGGACAGCATGGCCAGAGAGCCGATGACCTGACACTGACTGCTGTCCATCCAGGCCTGAGCGTGCCGGTTGTACTCGCCTCGAAACTTCAGGTCATAAGCGCCGATCATGAAGAGGTAGATGCCCATGAGCCCGTCTGCACCTGCAGGTAAGAAGAGCTTTTTTTAGATCAATGGCTGTCGACCTTTATCCAATGATATAATCTTTCCTCTGTTTGTTTGTTTGTCTGTTAGTTATCACAGAAGTGAACTTGGTGGAAGGATACGATACCGGGCAGGAAAGAGGATGTTACTTTGTGGTGTGGCTCTTTCAACATTGTCCTTGATTTGTCAGACAATAAAAACCAGACATGTTTAAGGGACTAATGATTAATGGGTTTGTGCAATTGGTGCGGATCCAAATGAAGATGTGGAGATAGTGAATTCAAAGGTGGTTTCATCAGGGCTCTGTTGGGCCTTGGTGGAAGCGTGCGCTCTCTTAGCGCCCTAACGGTTCATAAATCCTCTTTTTATTCCACAGTCCCTCGCTGATGTCGGCGGACAGGTTGGGACGCTGGTGACACATCGCAGGTGTGTAATGCAGCTCTCGTCTCATCACACGGGGAAGCTGAGATGTGTTTTCTCCTCACCGTCGTCTGCCATAACTCTTAACCTTATGATTAAATTGAGCTCAACGTTCGACTGTTTTACGAGTCTTTTCACTCTAAGAGCCAATGAGTCATAGGGAACACAATGCATTCACCTGAGCAGCCAGACAGCTTCTGCACGGCCAGGACAGACCTGACTTTTACTTTGTCCAAGCTCTAACTCATGTGCTCAGGACTTTGACTTTCAAACACACTCAATAACATCCGTTCTGAAGCAGATCGTATCGCTGGCACAGACACTTCAATGAAAAAGCAATTCCAAGTCTAAAATATGCAATTTATTCTAAATATTATTTTTTTTTCTCCACGACCATCCAGCAACCTCGAGATATAACCTCACAAGCTCCACGTTGAGAATCGCTGATTTAAAGAACTTTACAAACTTCTGTGCAGTAACAATAGAGCATTGACTTTACAGCAACATTCAGATGCACCGTGACAGACAGCAGCCGCTCAACCTTGAGTCATGCAGGAGAACCAAGAACAAACCACTTAAACATTGAAATGGCCTCTTTATACAAAGCTGGATATATAGAATGGAGTGTGTGCAGAATATGAATTACACTGCGTCCATTCGGAAATCAGAATCAACATCCTCTTTGTCACAGTCCTTCAAAAAGAGCACTTGGCACATTTCATCAGAATCATGCAACAAAGCTCAGCCAGAGGCAGAAGATCCAACTCATGTCACGATTGATGCTGAAGATGTCCACAATCGATTTTTAGAGCAGATTATAAAAAAACAGCTTTGACATCAGGGTGCTATTGATTGTCTCTCGTAACTCGACCAGTAAGCGAGTAACTTATTATCCGATGTGTGAAAAGTCTTTTACGAGTGCAAGATTATATTCTGGGTTGAACAAACGTCTTTTAGACATCGTTGTGAGTCTTCAATCAGAGGCTAGAAAAGATCGGCCTTGACTATAAAGTCCAATGATTGAAAATATATAGTTTTCGACATCCATTCAGTTCCTTTTCACACTGACACCCACTAACATCTGACTTTTTCTCTGCAATGGGTTCAGAGAAAACGATAAATGAGGGTTGGACATAAAATTTTTACCTGAGCTAATTATGGATACACAATAATTCCATGTGCATAATTACATAAAAAAGCAGTGAGGGCTTTATACTGCTCATCTAATGGGAAGACTGCTCATGCATATTTCTGATTGAACGCATTGACTGTTGTCCTTTCATCTTCACAGATGTTAATGCATTTGGCTCCAAGCCTGACCTTCAGTAAAGGTTTTCAAATGCAAAACGTTTGCCTAGAAGAAGGATAAGAACTAAAAAAACTAAACCCTACATCTTGTTTTCCTTCACACTTCATCTGCCCCCTTGCAAATTCATCACAATGTTGAGCCGACACTCAAAGCAGAAGTTAAATTGACAAATTATGACCTCTGAGGAATATTTGCTTCATGTTGTCACTGCTTGATGTTTAGTTCCTCGACAAAATGAAACAGTGAGGTCATGACCGAACCCTCCAGAGGGTCATTATCTTTGATATGGAAACATACCAGTGATCACCAAGAAGCATGTTTAACTCAACATGTGGTGCATATGATTATTAAAGACTAGATAATAATAATAATAACAGGAGAGCGGAGGTGAAGGTCCACCGGGATGATTCTCTGAGTAATACGACTAAATGCCACTTAACCATTCAATTTAGTTTGCAGGTTTCTTATGTGTATATTACATAAATATATAATGATACTTTAAACTTTTATGTGAAATTCCCACAAGCAGCGAATACATCTGTTCATAAAAAATTAAACCTTGACCCTCTGGCTGACTCCGCTGGCCTCAACATCCCCCCTCTAGCTCAGGGTGGAGAGGACACAGGGGACCCAGTAGCATGGGTACAGATATAAGTGAGAATTAAAAAACAGGTGATAGGAAAGAGAAGATTAGATTCAGAACACATAAATGTGTGAAACCACTGGGAGCTCCAGCGATAAAAATACATTACATCACCACCTCTATATGTCGAGAGGAACAATTTGTTCAAGTTAACATTATCTGCGTGTCTCTACTTTGTTTATGACTCCACTCTGTTCCAGCCCTTTTATAACAGGATGAAAAGCAACATGCAGACACATTCTGCTGGAGCGACAGGTTTTTAATCCATTGTTGAATTGAGAAACAAGCACAGAATTAAAAATCTCTCGACTTTTACTCTTGTGTTAATCACCTTAATCACCGCCTGACATTCTGGTAATAAACCTTTGAATGTCGTCACGTATTAAGCGAGTGAGCCCTCACACGAGATGTGAATAATGACTGTGATCCGCGGCTCTCATTGTGGATGCAGCAGGGAAGAGAGGATATATCCACCATAACATATATTTTCTGCTTTGCATATGTGAGCCCTTTGATCCGAACGGCTCTGAGTCTTATTGTAAATCCATATAGGGACCCTCAATGTTTTTCTCGCTCCGCACAGTCAAATTGTCTTCCTGCGGTAACAATAGAGGTAATTGCCATCTGTCAAATGATTCCAGAAATCTCTGTGAGTGTGTGGCTCGCATATCTCGAGAAAACGTTCGCCCTCACACCTTCACACTCGGCATGTGTCTTGTTAAGGGCCCAATGGAGAGCAGTGTTGAATCTGGTGCAATGAAGACATGGCGATATTTTAGATATTAATTAACTTAAACACTGAATCTCAAGTTCAGGGTTCTGCGTACTGAGTCGAGCTTCACCAAACTTTGAATAAACCGACGAACGGCTCTTTGTGCAGCAGCGATCGAGCAGCTTCAGAGTTCTCATATAGTCGGTTTGCAGGAAATCCAAGCACAAGCAGGGTATATGTGAGTGCAGGCTTTTGAGTGAGAGCGTTAGAAAATCTGGATGTGAAATAAGTAAGTCCTGCTTTCAAAGTGGAAAATCCAACCAGCATCACTACAGGTCGAGCAGACAGCCCTGACTTCATCATGATGGTATAAACGGAGTTTGTCAATCATAAAACAGCAAACCACTGCAGTGCACTTCATGGGTTTTCTTAGCTTGAGCGGCTCCATCTCATATCCAACCTTCTGTTCAGCATCAGTGCTGAGTCTCGTCTTGAAATCAATTCCCGTCTATCCACAAGAATACACACGTCTCTTCCATCAACGGTCCGTTTTAACCTGACACACCCCAGAGTCAGTCTTTATGATGCTACTCTATATTTGGATCTGCAGCTGGAAATGATTAAATATATCTGAATGAGTCCAACTATCTAATCAGCCATCGACTTGACTGATCAGCTCGTGCAGTTGCCACATTTTCATTTCAGTTTTGTCTTAATAATTTCTTGGAGTTGTTTGTATTCAGCAGATATGTAATGAGATTTTCTTGTTATTTGCACATTTAGTATTTATGAGGGTGTCTCACAGTGCGTGTAATTTAAAAGCAGTTGAGGAAACACACCGATAATCACACTGAGCACCAATTTCAACTTCCCACTGGGTGTGCAGAATTTCTCATTTCCACCTCTGTAGTTGTATCTGGCTCAGCTCCACGATCTACAGTCGGGCTTATAAACACACTGTAATGGTAAATATGACTGTGGGTAAACCGTGAACTTGTTTTCATTGAGCAAGCAGCCATCAAATGACCATATTTTTAAAAATGTGTTGCTGAGCAGTAAATATTCGAGGCTGGTACTCAGCATACCTCCGCCTAACAGTTCTCTTAAATTCAATCAAGCTGAACCAAACAAGATAAATTCATGAAGATCAGTCGTCTAAATACAGTTAGCCTGATTTTCTTTCATCATTTATTTACTGAGAAATGAGTGGACATGTCAAAAACAGCTTTATCTCGTAAAGGTAAAGAAAGAAAGTGAAAAAAATTCACCCCTGTTGTCAGGAACGTCTTCTGTATTCATATACAAGCATTCCTATCCTTCCTTCAACCAGCTAACCAGCTAATCATCATCAACCCACCCACCCACCAATGAGCCAACCAACCAACCAACCAGCCATCCAACCAACCAACGAGCCAACCAACCAGCCAACCAACCAACCAACCAACCA